AGTCATGTGAGGTGCTCTTCAAAAAAACAAAAACAAAAACAAAAACAAAAAAACAACTTTTGATAATTTTCCGTGTCAGTACATTATCTATTCAGTCTTTTCCAGGTATTCTGTTATATGTGCACACCATGGCCGACTTAAAAATTCCCTATTATTGGATTTAGACTGTTCAAAATATTTTAATATTATAACATCGGTATAGTAAATATCTTTTTACATGTATATGTAGCTATGCTTTAAGTTCCCAGACATTGAATGTTTAAATCAGAGCGCGTGCATATGCATTACAGAAAACTTAAGTCACTTTCTAGCTTTCCCAACAATGCATCCAAATGCCATTTTACCCGTCTGTATGCACGAGGAAGTGTGTGTACTCGTGGACGCACATGTGGGGGGGGGCAGGGGGCAGGGGTTGACGTGGTGTGTCTTCCTCCATTGCTTCCCACCTTCTCTTCTGGCACAGTTGCTCACTGATTCTGGTGTTCAGGGTAGGCTGTCTGGCGAGTGAGCTCCAGGGTTCTGCCTGTTTCTTCCCCCTCTGTGATAAGGTCACAGGCTCGAGGTTGTGATCTCTTGGTTTTATTCTTACCATGGCACTATGGATCTGAACTCAGGGACTGTGCAGGAGGCATCCTGACCAAGCTGCCTCCTCAGCTCCTCGCCCCATTTTATCCCACTTTGTCAATCTTTGGAGTCCTCTCAATTAGACAGGCAAATGATAAGAATCTGTTGTCTAGAAAGCTGAAAACAAACCAACAACAAACCCCAACCTCAAGATCCTAAAAGGACAAGACTTCTCAAGAACAAAGAAGGGAGATTAGGGTGTTTCCCAAGTTAAATTCTAAAACATTTATACTAAGTACAAACCATCTCAATGCATTCGCCAACAAAGACTTTGTTTTAAAATTGCATAAGAGCTTTCAGTAATTCCTAAGAGCCTTTATTTGGAGAGCAAAGGAGGAAGAAACGGCTTTCATGGCAGGGCAGTCTTGGGAAGTGAGTTTCCTTGCAGCACGGGCAACAGCCTGAGGCATTTCAATAGATGCCATCTTGGGCTTCAGGACTTAGAAGGGAGGGTAACTGGTTAATGACATAGCCACAAAATGAGTCAGAAGGCAGGAGAGTCTTCAAAAGTGTGCGTGCCTGGGCACATTCTATATGAGATAGAAAAGTGAGTGTGTCGTCCAAGTAGCCTAGGCAATAGTTATTACAAAACTCAAGCAGAGATATTTCCTCTCTTTAAAAGCCGTTCTTTCTGTTGGGATCAACTTGACAGGGTCTTCAATAATTTTCCTTGATGGGCATTGATTTGATGGGTGAGCTAGATTAACTGAGAGACTACCGGTAAGTATTAAATCACCCTCCAAATTATTTGTAGGTAATTAGGAACAGCTCCTACCATATTTTTGAGGGGGGGGGGCAGGACATAACCTCTAGTGGTTTGCAAAATGTCCTTGGATCACTGGTAGGATTTGCTAGAAATTCTCAAGGCCAGCTCCAGACCTACTGAAGAACTCTGGGGGTCAGGCCAGGAATCGGTGTGCTACCAAGTCTTTAGGGTGATTCCGCACTTGTACCCACCCACATTTAAGTAATGAAATCATTTGTGTTTATGACCCACGTTTTCAAGGTTTTTTTTTTTTTTCTTTGTCAAATTATTGTTAAGTTTCAAAAGTTTGGTGATGTAAAGTTAACAAAACGGTGAGAGGTGACTTGGGGGTTGTTTAAACACAGCTCTCTAATGAGAACAGTGTTTGAAAGAGAGTTCTGGAGGCCGGAGAGAGAGATGGCTCCGCCATGAAGAGCCCTTTCTGCTTTGGTAGAGTTACTTCCCAGCACCCACAAAGGGTGATCATAGCTCTGGGGGATTCAACACTCTCTTCTGGCCTCCACCACACACTTGCACGCCCGCTTGCACGTCCGCACACCCCCCGCACGCACACATGCAAACCAAACCACCTAACAAGCAATTCTGTGTCTAGCATTTTGAAGTGCACATTTTGGCCAGGGTCTAGGGATGTCTTTGTAAAGTGGAAGATCTTTTTTTCAGGACAAGGGTTCCTAGATGGTGCACACATTGCTGCAGAGTTGTATTGACTCTGAATTTGGTCTGGTTGGAAAGCTTTAAGTAGGATTACTACGCTGTGCACATAATGAAAAATAATTTTTTTTTTCTGATAAAATGTTTTATTAGATCTTGTTAAAAATTTTTCAAGTTTTAAGAAACTGTCAAACTGTTAAACCACTGTGACCTCATCTTCCTTTGTGCACAATGCTAGTGAGACATCCAAAGCCCCTCAGTAAGACTCCCAAGGCCAGCCCTGTGTGATAGCTTTCCCTTCGTGTTCTTGTGGTGTCCCATGGTGAGTTTAATTTGCATTCTCCACTGACTAATGGAGGTGAACTTCTTCAATTGTGTGTCTTAATTTGCATGTGTGTGAGTGTGTGTGTGTGTGTGTGTGTGTGTGAAGAACTGACCCTATGACTGTGTTTAGAGACGGTGTCTACGAGGAAACAACTCAGGTAAAATGAGATTCTAAGAGTGAGGCTCTGACACCTAAGGGTTTGTGTCCTTATAATAAATCCTGAAGTGCTTGTTTCCATGAGCACGCACACAAAGAGAGTACACAGCAAGATGGAGGTTGCCTTCAAGCCACGAAGGCCTTTGTCAGGAATGGACCTTGCTGCCATATCTAACTTGGACTTCCAGTTTCCAGGAAATGTCTACTGTGAAAGCTACTTAATCTATGATGTTCTGTTATGGCAGTGTGAGCTGACAAAGGTGATGAACTTAGTCACTTTATCTGTACTGTTCAAAATTGGAAAACACCCAAATGAATTAAAAAAAATACACACCTACATGCATACATTCACACAGTCATGTGTCTCTGTGTGTATGTTTGTGTGTGCATAATGAGATGCTACCGAGCAATAAAATTGAATGAACTATTTATACAACACGAATACATTTCAGAATAATTGCACTGAGTGAAATAAACCAGATGACCCCCCCCCCAAAAAAAAAAAAAACCACAAAGATTTGACACCGTGTGAATCCATTATATAAACTTGAAAAAGCGCAGCTAACCTGTAGTGACAGAAAGCAGATCTGTGCTTGCCTGGGTGGGGAGGCGCGGCGAGGTATGTGAGGGAGGGAATACAGACATGCTGGGGTCAACTAGAGTCGATGCATACATTTATCAGCTCGATTGTGGTGCTGGTCGTACCGGTGTACATACGTTAAAATGTAAGCTGTATACATTAAATATAAGTGGCTATGGTGTGTCAGTTATACTCAGCAATGCCGCTAAAAAAACAAAACAAAACAAAACAAAACAAAACAAAACAAAACAAAAAACCTCTGGGATTTTCTTATCTTTAGAAATCTTCAGTTTTGTATCAAACAGATTTTTTTTAAATGTTCTTATCTTTCATCTCTGATAAAGAGACAGAAAAGAAAATTCCTCATTTAGTAAAGGCTGCTGTAGTATGTGTGGAAGGCCACGGCTTTGTAACAAAATTACTGCCCGACCCCCAACGCAGGCTCTCCATCACCAGGAGGGGCAACAGACAAAAACCCCACACCAAAAGGGCCAGAGAACAGGTAATGACTGCAAACTCACAGCAAAGAAACAAAAGGCTTTTGCAGGCTTAGACGGCCCCGCTGCACACCGTGGCAAAGAAAGGAAACTATTAAGGTGTATCTTTCAATCACATTCGGCGGTTCGCTGCAGAAAAGAACACTGCAGAAAAGCCTCCACAGGGAGATGTTAAAACCCAGAGGTTTAAGTTGGATACAGCTTTTTACAGCAGAACCCAAAGTTCCGTATAGAATTTGATTAAAGTCTCAAAGCCTCGCTCAGTATCAGAAGCACTGGAAGGTAAACTAGGGTTTTACTGGACGTTGGATACATCCCATATTTACTGGAAGTTGGGCAGGGAAAAGCGAGGTTTCATTCAGAAGTCCTTTGTGGGACATCACTGCGTCGACAACTGCGTCCAACTGTTGCAAAACGGCTTTTATTTTCCTGGGTAGGAAACACAAAGTTTTCACTTTAAGTGCAAGCTTCCTAGGTTTTAAGCATCTTTTTTTTTTTTTTTTTTCTTTTTTTGAGTTTTGACTATTCAAGCCAACAAGTGGTAGAAGAGGAGATTCATAGCGGATGCCAGGCTTTTTCTATTTTTTATTTTTCTCTCGTTCTAGTAGTCGATACAGAGTTCTGCGAGGCACAGCCCTCCCTCGCCTCCCCCCGACCCCGCCTTCCCCGGCAAGCAATTCGCATCAATTCGCTGCTGCTTCCCAGCTAGAGAGCGCTCAGACTGCACCTGCTCCCGGGGCCGGCGGGGGGTCCTGGGTCCCGCTCACTGAGCCGGCGCTGCCTGTGCACGGACGCGACGACCCGCCAGGGGTCACTGCAGCCTCAGAGCTATTGTGCCCAGCAGCGCCTGGTCCCGCCGGCCGCGCGGAGGGCGTGGGAGCCCGGGAGCGCAGGACGCAGGGGTCGCGGCGGAACCGCGCCTCGGCCGGCGCGGGGCGCGGAGGGGTGGACCCACCTCCCGGTCTCCCGGGGAAACGGACGCGGGGACCTCGCGACGGCGCACGCGTTCTCGCCGGGGACCCGCGGGCACGCGGCCGGGCTGAGCCCCTCCGCCCCGCCCTCCGCCCCCAGCCGAGACCCCGCCCTGAAGGGGGCGATCGGGTCACGGTCGCGGGGCTCCGGCTTCTGCTCCCCGAGGCTCTCGGCCGACGGGGGACCGCGGCACCTGGGTGGCTCCCGCCCAGGGCTCCGCCCCGGGAGCGGCCAAGAACTTTCCCCGGAGCCTCCGCGGCCTGGCGCCCCGGCTCCCGCGGTGCCCGCCCGCAGGTCCCCCGACGCCCGGCTTCGCGGGACGCTCGTCGGGAGCGGCGCTCGGTCCCCGAGGAAGCTTGCGCTCGGCCGTCGCCGCGGGATGAGTTCGGGGACCCCCGGACGGAAGCCGCGGCCCGCCAGCAGCTGACCCCGGGAGGAGCCCCGGCCGGTCCTCCGCGCCTCCGGAGCCGGCTGTGACAGCGGCCCCGCGCCCCAGGTCCGCGGTGTGTGTGTGTGTGTGTTGGGGCGGGGGGTCGTGGTCACCCCCCGACACAAAAGGGAAGCCGAGCGAGCGCTCCGCTCCCCGCGGGGCGGGGTCGGCGCTGGAAGTGCGCGCCCCGCGGAGACTCGGGAGCTGCGGCCGGGGGATCGCCCCGGGGCTTGTGCGCAGCGCTCGCGTCTCCGGCCGGCCGCCCTTAACGCGCGGCGACTCCTGTCGTCCCCAGGTCGCCGCCCAGGTCTTCGCCGGAGGAGCCGCCGCCGCAGGATGCGCGGGGACGCGCCGCCCCGGGTGCCCCGTTCCGCGCACGCCTCTCGGGCGGCCCCGGGCTCCTGACGCGTGCTCGCCCTCCGAGCATCCCGGGGCTACCCTCTCCGTGACCTCCGGACCCCGGACCTCGCCCCTCCGGGTGGGGGTGGGGGACCCCGGCCGGACCCGCGCCTCTCGCCCCCCGCGCGCGGCGCGCACCATAGATTAATGCTTGGCGCTTGAGGAGGTGGGGGAGGAGGAGGAGGAGGCGGCGGCGGGCGCCGCGGACGCCGCTCTCGCCCGGCTGGAGACGACGCTTTTCGGCCGACATGGGCTGCTTCTGCGCCGTCCCGGAAGAATTTTACTGCGAAGTTTTGCTCCTGGACGAGTCCAAGCTGACCCTCACCACCCAGCAGCAGGGCATCAAGGTAGGCACAGCCCACCCCCGGGGGGCGCGGGGCGGGGTCCGCGACGTGGGGGCCCGCGGCTTTGTGTTTCCAGGCTGTGATCCGTCCAGCACTCCCCGGCCTCCGACGGAGCAGGGGCTCTGTCCGGGCTGCGCTCACTCGGAGTTGCTTAGAAAAGTAACTTTGCTGTCCCGAACGGCCCTCGACGCCCCGGCTTCCGGCGGCGATTCGAGGTCCGGCGACGGAGATGGACTCTGCCCCCCCCTCCCCGGGCTCCCCTAGAAGCCCCCGGGTCCCTCGCAGCCCCCCGACAGGCGCGGGATTGAATGGACGGGCTGGATAATGCTACGCCTGCCCCGAAAACTGTGCTCCTCTCCGCAAGCGGGCTGGCCTCGTCTCTGCCTTTTAAGTGAGCATCTCACAAGGCAGATCGGTGATCGGGCCGCTCCCGGTTGTGGTCACGGGAAATGCGTTGCCCCTCCCGACCTAGAGGAGCCGCGGAAAGCCCGCGAGCCCGCGCGGACCCACTTCCTCGATTTTCAGTACGTCTCTTTAGACCTGGCGACCTGAGGACGCGCCTGCGCGTTTGTTCCTCTTTGCCAACAGTTTGACTGCCCGAGGAGAGCCGGATCCGGTGTGGGTGTTTTGTTTGCCTTTCCCGTTCAGTGTTAGTTAAGGCGGCCCCGGAGTCTGTACCTGGTGCCCATTCCACCTCCCCACCCCCATCTCCGTGCGCCCCTGCCCCTGAGCTGTGGGGCCCGGGATAGAGTTCCCTATGCCCTCTTCCCTAGTCTTGCCCGCATGAGGTAGGTCCTGGGCATTTCCTTGGGGGTGTCTGCCTTGATTACCTTTATGCCTATCAGAAAAACTGTTCCCGGCTAGGAGCCTCTTCGTGGATGTTGCCAGGTGGGGCACACAGAATTTCCAGAAGGAAGGCAATAGTGACCAGTTAAAGCTAAAACGCTTAACCCCTTGCTTTGGGAAATACTTTGAATATCGTTCCTCAGGAATTATAATAGGCAAAATTCAATCAAATTCTCATCTTTAGGTTTTTCCCAAGAACAGTAAAACAGTATTTGTAGGGCCAGTGATCGTTTTATATTTTTAACACTTCTCTATGTTCTTAGACACACCCCCCTCACACACCAAGAAAGCAGGGAAAAAGCGAACCCTCACTGTACAATACCGTGGAACACTTTGTGGCCAAAATTAAAACAAAAACAACAACAAAAAGGGACAGTCCTTGGTAACACATACAGATGCCCTGGTGTGGAAGTGGAGACAGTCAGAAAAAAAGATAAGTCATGATCTGATGCTAAGCCAACAAAGAGATCTCTCTGAAGTGCAAAGGATAGATGCATCTGGAATCTCCAGTCATCTGCAGCAAGAGCTTCCCATTTAATCATGAAAGGCATGCCCCTGTCAGCTGTGGCTAGCTTAGAATAGTCTGTCAGGAGAGCAACCAAGTCTTGGGATCAAATGGAATAAGTTTGCTAAAGAAACGTGAATCAGAAATCCTGATCCACACTTATTTTTAGTAGCTCCATGGCCTTTACCTTGTTTTAAAAATGGGCTGAAGCCTGGTAAGTGATTCAAAGGCAACAACAGCTTCAGAATACTGTTATTTTGGCTGGGTGCCACACAACAAAACAGTATTTAAAGCAGGCTTGGGTTGGAAGTAATCATTTTCACCACAAGCTTGGTCTCTTTCTGTGTCACAAAAGCATGCCGTGCTGATTTTGATGTCCACGTGTGTAACACAGATGTTGTCTGCTGGAGTTAACCGCATTATCTGCAGCTACTATACCCCCTTAAAAATGCGTGCCCTAGGATGGTCCACCCCTGGTGTATACTAAACTAAGCATTTGCATATTTACCAACAGTATGAGCTCTGCAAAAGCGTCTCCCATGTCAGTGACACTCAAACACAGATTGAACACCTGTGCTGTACCATACACAATTGACTTTTAAAAACATTCTCTTGACCTTCTTATGTCCTGACATATAGGTGCCAATACTAGATAAGTATATTTGAATTTTGTTTATTTATTTTATGCGTATTGGTATTTTGCCTGCCTGCGTGTCTAATAGGGTGTTGGATCCCCTGGAACTGGAGTTACCGTTGGTTGTGAGCTGCTGTGTTGGTGCTGAGAATGGAACTCGGGTCCTCTGAAACAGCAGCCAGCGCTCTTAACTGTTGAGCCATCTCTCCAGTCCCAATTATTGTGTATTAATTAGATAAATTTAGCTTCTGCTTTAGTTCACAGATGAAAAATTACTTTTAAATCAACAATCAATAGCTGCTATTACAGTGTTCTCTGTGGTAGTTTACTTGGTGACTTTGGCTACCACCAATTAAAATCAAAGTTAATGGAAGGTCCTAGTGTTTCTAAGGGAGACGAGGCCTGCACCCCTCTATTGATAAGCAGAGATGAGATGCCTGCGTCTTCAGGTCTTAGAAATATAGAAACTGGATGAAAAAGATTCAGGGTCTTGTGAGTAGTCAGGAAGAGAAAAAGCTTAGAGCAGAATTTTTCCAGCAGCATGCCTGAGATTTAAAGCTTGGAAAGTTGACAGAGGTTTAACTCTGGTTGAAGCTATTGTACTAGAAAATGCATCTCTTGTAAGTACTGGAGGTAAAAATAAGAAAAAGGGTAAAAAGTAGTTGAGAAATAAAAAACTTGGCTGCTGATCATGGGCAAATACCAATTCCCAACTTATATCTCATGTTACCGAAAACATGTTTTACAGATACTTTGAACACATACTCAGTACTCCCAGAACTTTATGGTCATACATTGTTTGAAAATCTGGACTTTTAGCTTTAAGTACTTGATGTAATTATTTTTTGTATATATATACACACACACACACACACACACACACATACATACACACATACACACACATACATCCAAGACAGGGTTTCCCTGTGTAGCCTTGGCTGTTCTGGACTTGATTTGTAGACCAGGCTGGATCTTACAGAGATCCTCCTTCCTCTGCCTCCCTGAGTGCTGGGAAGAAAGGTGTACATCATCATGCCCGGCTTATTTTTGTATTTTTATACCAGCAAAATTATTCTCAGAAGTTAAATAAAAATATAAACAAAGGTAAGCAACATCAGTTAGCTCATTCTCCTCAGAAATTAAAACAGAAAAATACAAATTAAAATTAATTAATTAATTAATTAATTAATTAATAAGACAGAGTTTCACATGTAGCCCAGGCTGGCCTTGAGCTCATGACAATCTTCCTGCCTCAATTTCACAAGTGGTGAGATTATAGACTAGGCAGGAGCCACCACACCTAAGCTATGTTTGTTTGTTAATAGAAGGAATTTTACCGATTCCTATGTGATTTACTTAAGAATTTTCTTATAAAAGTCTGAACAATAAACGAGAAATATCTTCGGTGCTGGAGAGATGGCTCAGTGGTTAAGAGCGCTTGCTCCTCTTGCCAAGGGCCACAGTTCAGTTCCCAGAACCCACATGGCAGCTCACAACCATCTGCAACTCCAGTTCTGGGGGACATCTTTTCTGAGCCCCACAGGCTCCTGTAGCACTTGGTACCCTCAGCTGCTTTGCACTTCTGTTAAAACCATGCATTATGGGTTAGAAAACTGACGGTAGCTATCAAAAAGTTAGTTTTCCATAACTTAGGTAAAAGATTTTTCATTGAAAAAAAAAAAAAAAAAAAAAAAAGCAACTTGTGGGGGCTGGAGAGATGGCTCAGTGGTTAAGAGCACTGTCTGCTCTTCCAGAGGTCCTGAGTTCAATTCCCAGCAACTGCGTGGTGGCTCACGACCATCTACACGCCTTAGAGCAGTAATATGCATAAATAAATAAATAAATAAATAAATAAATAAATAAATAAATAAAATCTTGAAAAAAACAAACGTGTGTGCTGATAGAAAGCATTTCACTATGGATAATAGTGTGGATTTCACTGTGGATGATAGTTGCACATCTGACATGTTCAAAAAAAAGTATCATTTAAATAGAAAATAATTTTCTGTTTAAAAATTAATTAGGAAAATAAAAGGCAGCATATTTTTGTATCTATTCTAGTGTTACTTATATATCTGCATTTTTCCTTTCGAGGTGTCCTCACTTGACAAGCCGGAAATCTTTTTTTCTTTCAGTCCTGTGCTTGAGTCCAGTCTGAGAGTTAAAGACCCCAGTTTTTGTGAGCTGAAAGCTGCCGGTTGTGTGTTCAGCCAGCACGTAGCTTTTAGCTGTTTGTTCTGTGCTGCTCTCTCTTTGGTGTATTCAAGTGAGCGTTTCTCCTGAGGTCGGCCTCAGGTTTTGAGTAATGTTTGTTCTGGGAAACATTTGTTAGGCCTTTGTGGTCCTCTCAGCAGGGAGAGGTAGAGAGCACTCTTTTTGTTCTCTTTGAAAGCAAAACTTGAATGTGGTTCAAACTATGTTTCTGCATTGTCATTTGGGGAACAAAAGATTTTTTTTCAGAGGAAAAAGTCACAAGCTCTGATTGTAAATTTGGCCGGTAGAATTGTTATGCAAATCTGAAATAGGTTAGTATTTTCATTTTAGCAAGGTTTGGTCCTCTGAATGAGTACTAAGGTACTTATTTCTGGGTGTGATGGTTAAATTAATGAAACTAACATGGCAGTAAGATAGGAATTCCATTGACCTAAATTTTTTTTTACTTATATGTGTTTGAATTATGCCCGTGTGTCTGTCTGTGTACTGTGTGTGTGCCTGCTGGTGCCCACAGAGGCCAGAAGAGGGTGCTGGATCCCCCGGAACTGGAGTTACAGATGGTTGTGTGCTGCTCTGTGAGTGCTGGGAATTGAACCCGGGTAACCTGGAAGAGCAGCCAGTGCTCTTGACTGCTGATCTCTTTAGCCCCTCCGTTAGGTTTAGAGATGCCACATATAATCTACCCATTTTAAACATAGAGTTCATCCTTTCATTATTAAGTACCATTACCTTCGGCCCACTCTGAGGTTCCTGTGGCAGTGCTGTGAGCTAGTTTTGATTATTTAATCAGAAACTTCCCAG